TGGGCCATGCGGTCGGTGCATTGTCCACTACAATGATGTGTTGCAGCCTTGGAACGTCTGTTAGGATGGCCTGACACACACACACACACACACACGCACACACACACACACACAACAAACATGGCATCTTGATATATGTTGTTTCTATATTGACAAAACATAAATAGTGGGTTTTTCTGGGAACAAGTGAACAAAGGAACATTCTCTTTATGCCGCCTCAATAAAAATGGAAAGATGAAATGCAAGAGCACTGCTTGTCTTGGCACTGAACCTGGCCAAAACATGCCAAAGCAGTCGGCACGTGTCTTCTAACATTTACAACTCTGTCATGGGACGCTGCGACTTCTCTGTTCTTTCAGCGCTGAACATTGTGTTCTCTCTGATTGAAAACTTTGGCTCCGACGTTTCCTCAGAAGATCAGATATATGAGATATTTGTCCACACAATGATGTTTGTCACTGTAATGTCCGCTGCTTTATACGGTTTGGTCTAGTAGTTTCTTATACTTTGTGATGAAAAATAAATTTCCTGTGAAAAAAGATTTGCAGAGAGAATTTACTCTGTGTATTCTAACCTTGAGTCTGGTCTCCAGAAGCTCCCTGCTGGTGATGATGTGGGTCACCTGAGTCTCATTCAGCCCGTGGGCAATGGCGGGACCTCCCAATGTGGAGTACATGGTGACCACTGCAACCCACAGGGACACAGAAAAGGCACATTAGAGTATAATAGACTAAAACATTAATGGCCCCACAGGCAAATTTGCTTTCCACATAGTAGTCCAACAAATTAAATACATGCATACACAGAGGACGGCACAGGACCCACATCCAAATGTACTCATCTGCCACTATGAAGCGTGAGGCAAAGGTGGACTTAATGTGATGTGCAAGAGGCAGGATGGGCTGTTTATCTAAACTGTGTTAATTCAAGACAAGCCTGTCTGTGTGTGAACACAGTGACCGCGCAGACATGTGAAGATGGACCATGTACGTGCTGACTGTCTACAATCCTCAGTGTCCCTGATTTAGGCCCCTCTCACTCAGATGAGCTCTTCGGGCACCTCCAGAGGCTTCCGAGCCAAACGGCTCTCGTTGCATGATAAGTACTCTTTGGGGGATATAAACAAGTACTGATGTTTGAGAGGGTTTACTGTTTTGACTAAGTGCATATGTCTAATGAAGCACTGTGTGGTTGCATGAATGCATGCACTCAGCAAACCAGGGTTAGCGTTTCAAGCCGTCCTTTAAAACCAGATATTGACTCTTGCCTCATGGCTCATATGTTATGGATATGATCTACTTTTGTTACACAACATTGTGCTTCTTTGGGAAGACTTGATCTCAAGACTGATCAAACTCTGAACACCCAAATGATGCACCTATATGTGCTTGTTTAACATCTTTATAAAACTGCATTTTGGAACCAGAGGTGTTTGTATGGGGTCGACTATGTTGACTCTGTACAGACATTCTTCACGTTCTTTGTGCTATCTGCATGTGCATGAAGGGTCATGTCATGTTTAAACAGGAAACGGCATTAGCCCGATTTAGTGCCACAAATTTAGAAGCTTTTGATTTTCTAAAATATCACTGGATGTTTCAGCATTATGATTTGCCTTGAAGGGTATAAAAAGGATCAAAGGGACTCAAAACATGACAAAAATATCCCCAGATCATAAGCACAACCGAGTATGTAGTTTAAATTCCCAAACGCAGATCATAAAGTTTTTAAGTGAATTATGTTTATGGGCATTTACAAAACTTCTCAGCAGAAGAAAGTTTAAAAAAGGTTTTCTCTTCTCTACTTGGGGCAAAAAAAATATGGTTTCCCTAGAGAAGTATAATCAAAAAGGATTAAAAATCACAACATTAAAAAAAAAAACCTTATTTAAATTTGGACAATTTCCCTTCAATCTTCTTATGCATGTTTGATTGGCTGTGTGTGTTATATGTTCACACCATACCAAATGTTCACCATATGTATGGTCTCTTTCTTCCTTTGCATTTTTTCCACTCTGTCAATTTTTAGAAATTTTTCTAAAAAAAAAAATAAATTTCAGACCATAAACATTTACCTGTACCCAACGAGGAACACTGTGCATTTTTAGAAAACAGGACCACAGGCCCATTAAAAGATATTTTAATCCTCCACAACTAAAATACAGACAATAAAACCTGACTTCACTATCCATATGATTCCTACAATTGTTCTTCTTTTATTTGGCTAAAAGATATAAACCGCTGCATGCATAAGCAGATATTCCTTCAAAAGTTGATTCTGTTCATCTGGACGTAGCGTTTTCTGGGAGAAACGTTTCGTCACTCATCCAAGTGACTTCTTCAGTCTCAGCTGACTGCAGGTTTCCTCAATCTTATAAACAGTACATTTGCATAATGACTGAAACCAGCCCACTGAAG